TTTTTTTTTTAATACAGTATCATTGGATTTGTTTAGTGCTTACAGAGTTGGTAAAATGGAAGGAAAAAAAAACCCTCAGTAATTTTTGTAAGAAAAGGAATAGAAAAATATCTTATTATTTCTCTTGAAGGAAAAAGTGGCTTGCAATGTATATAATCACTGCCCTGAACACAGATGAGTTGCACACAACTTTTGGTGACCCTGAGAGCTCTAGTTATTGTATTATGATTCTCTATGAAATACTTATTGCAAATGCAGATTAAAGTGTAGGATCTGTGTGTCTTAAATACCTTACTCCTCAGGCAATGCAGTGCATTTTCTGTTTAAATAATTGTTTCAAGCCCTCATGGAGAAAAGCTCAGTGCACATCTTGGGAACAACATCTGCAGTGATATCTGCTTGTTTCTACTGAAGTTCTGAAATTCATGAGTTGTCACATGCCCCTGAATGGGGTTTTAACTCTGAAAACCTCTCATCTGTAACCCAATGGCAAGGCTTAGATGCAGCTGCTGTGTGGATGGGGAGGTGGAGGGCAGGGGAGGATCAGCTCACACAGCTGTCTTGCGTCTCCACCATTGCAAGTTTAGCTATGTGAGCAATACAACAGGCAGTGCAAGTGGGTTATGGTTTCCTTAACTCCCTTCTTTCCCTCTGGTGTTTGTTCCTCTGTTCCTTTATGCCCCAAACTGTGCTTGGGTTTACAGGATTCTCAGTGCCAATGCCCATATAGAGCTCTACTAACACCGTGCTATCTCATGCCATTTCTTCTGGTATTGGAAATAGACTCCTGGTGATGCTAAAGAAAACCTGTGCAAAAATGAAGGGTGCTGAAAATGTTAGAGCAAATGTTGTGATTCACTTTCTCTGTGTCTTTTCACATCAGCACCTGCAAATGTGGGCATTCTCTATCAGCTGCTTTCTCAGGGCTTTTTAACCCTGAGGCCGTTGAACGCTCTGGCAGCAGGCTCCGAGTTGTTTTTCCAAGCCCCGAGATAATGTTCTTTGCTAGCAATACATTGATACAAGCTTTCTTTGAGTGAAATAGATTTCCTATGGATTAACTGACCCTACGTGATTTGTTTCCTGAGCTTTGTTAAACTTCTGGTTGGCTTGTTCTAGCATGCCTAGTGTCTTACTCTTGCCATGCTGATAATGTTTGAAAGGAAACTGTGTTTTCAGACTCCTGTGATGACTTAAAATACATAGATATCTCTGGGTACAAGTGGCAGTATGCTTAGCTATTTCCTTTCTTTCTCTTTTTTACTAAAGGTCTCAGCAGACTGTTCTTTTGAAATTGCACTCCAGAGTTTTCTGGATGACACCATGTCCCTTTGTGGCATCCTAACCTACTCTTCATGTTCTCACCAGAACCTGGGTCAATTGTGCAAACTAATGTTATTGTCCCATAGTTTATCTTTGCACTCTTATGTCCCTGTTCACATGGGTGTTAAATGTGGATAGTTCTTTATAGGCAACTACGTCTTTAACATCAATTATTTCCCTCTCTCTCATGAGAAGGAGGTGTGGTTGGGTAATGATACACTTTACTGTCAGTTTCTGAATGTCCTTATTACCTGCAGGTAATCACCACAGTGATGGTTTCAGATTTGGGGTTGCTACAGTGCTTTTCCAGTCTAAAGTTCACTGGGAAAGCAAGTGATGACACCCCACATATTAGTTATAAAAAATATGCACTGTTTATTTCTCTGTGTTTAAGTACTACTAATTTGGGAAAGCAGCCTCTTCTATGTATGTCCAAAAATATGGTTGTCTCCCTTATTACTACTGAACATCCAATCTTGGTATGTAGTGGATGAGTCCACTGTTACTCACAATAGCCTGCAATTGCATTTATAACATCTGAGCATTTTTTGTGCTTAAAACAATAGTAATTCCTCATCCCATTCATGCATTCTTTACATCTTTTGCTAAATTGGTACACTGCAATCATTTCAGAATTATGTGTTTCCTTAGGCTCTTACTGTTAACAGAGAAAACAACCAATCCTGCATAGTCTCTTCTGGTTTTCCAAATTAATGTTACTCACCCTCACCCACTCCTATTGTTAACATACCAGTGACCAGAATATTTGATTTCTTTCTAACAATCTTTTTGTTTGTTTGCTTGTTCTTTTTCCATGCAGTACATGGAAACATGGATTCCCACAAATGAGCCTTGCAAGATCTGCACGTGTCTTGATAACAAGAAAGTAAACTGCACGATCCGACCTTGCCCTACTGCCAAACGTAAATTGGTTTAGCTCTAAGTATGATTGGACTGGAATTGATGTTTTTGTTACCTAGTTTTCTCGTTCTTATCTAAACTTGTTTTATGGATGTTTTCTTCTTACTCCAGCTGCTCAGTGTGGTCCCTGTGAAGTCCCTCGTCTGCATAGAGACTCCAGCCAGTGCTGCCCCGAGTATGAGTGTGGTAGGTTCTCATAAACTTTTGGAATCTTCTTGGTCCATATTTTTACCAGATGCTTCAAAGGTATACAACCCCTTTTTTGATTTAATGCAATGCTCCATTTTTGAAACCACTGAATGACTGTACAACCATCTGTGTGGAAAAGTAAACAGCTTCTGAGGATGTGAGTCTCCATTCACTTCCAACGTGACCTTGTCCCTCTTTCTGTAAGCGGTGAGGAAGGGAATGGAGTTGTTTTTGTCTGAATGACATTAGAATGATCTCTTTTCAAGTATCTATTTTTGCATGGTCTGTATTTGAACATTAAATATAACATTAGAACCTTAATCCTCATAACACAAGCTTGAATTGTTCCCTCAGCTATTTTGAAAACCAGCTCTGACCTGTTGAACTCCAACTCACTTCATATTTTAGGATAGAAATTTAGTGGAGGGAAAAAAGTTCAACGGGGATGTGCATGCATGTGTGTCTTTTCTTGAGGACTAACTAGTCAGATGCGGTCTTAAATACTTTCTCAATTTCTCTTCTTAGTCTGTGATCTGGTTTCCTGCGATTTGCCTCCTGCCCCTGTCTGTGAGTTTGGTCTGCAGCTAGCTCTGACCAACCCTGGAGAATGCAAACCAAATTACACATGTGGTAAGAGATTTTTTTTTTTTTTTAAGCAGGGAGTGACACAGTGAAATTAGAACATTACATTTGAACAACACTGACAACTTCCTGTAGACATTGCTTTTTCCCTCTAAAAAGTTTAATTTTGGAGCCAATGGACATGTATTGATTTCACAGACTTAGAATAAAGATATTGTTGGCACTTTCTGAGTATGCTTTTGAATTAAGGAATAGAGAAACACTTTACCCTTGGACATGCGTGCTCTGACCCTTATGCTTATTTTATAAATCTTTCTGATTGTATATGAGACAAGAAATTTTTGGCAGGGTAGAAACTTTTCCTGAACCTGCAGCACAATGTTTGACCTGAGTCTTTTATATCTGCATTACTTCTTAGTCTTTAAGTAGATTTATAACAGTTTGCAGTAGCAATTAGTGCCTTGCTGCCAGAGAACAGTCTTGTTTGCTCACAGCACTCTGAAATGCTGTGTGCTTGACATGACACCTACCTTTTTCTGTTAGCGTGTAACAGAGAAGCATGCGGTTTAGTTCAAAGACCTTCCTGCCCACCACATCGAGAGCTGACTGTTAAGAAGACCGAGTGCTGTGATAAATATGAGTGTACCTGCAGTTGTACAAACTCAACAGTGAGCTGCCCTCTGGGATATCTAACCAGATCTCTCACCAATGACTGTGGCTGCGTGTCTACCACCTGTGCTCCAGGCAGGGTAAGGGGAATGAAGTGTCATTTCCACAGATGAGAAGAAGTAGTGGAAGAAGTTTTGAGTGCAAGTCTCCTTCTACAGGACTCCCTATTTTCTCTAAATATTGGGTCACAGGGAAACCTAGTCAGACCCTGGGCAATTCCACTGACTGCAGATAAAATTCTCCAATTTATTCTTTATAAAAATGCAACCAAAGCAGCTTTGGTTGCATTTATTTTCCTTTCCTCAGCAGAGTGGCCACAATTTTAAGACCTGTAGCATTTCTACTGGGTTCAAAATATTCCATAAAATTTATGGTAGGTTTCACATTTTAAAAAAAACAACCTTTCAGAGCCAGCAGTGTGCCCTTGCAGCATCAATGTGCTTTTTCAGGTATTAATTGTTGCATTCTATAGGTGTGTGTGCACAACAACGTAGTCTACCCCGTTGGGACAACCTGGGAAGACGGTTGCAGGGAATGCTCCTGCACCAGTATGAGGGATGATGTTACGGGACTTCAGATGATGGAGTGTCATGACAAAGCATGTAACACGTTCTGCTCTCGGGTGAGTAATGTTTAAGCAAGTGCATTAGCCAGCAGAGCCCTGATGGGGATCTGAAATGATGACTTTTAAACCTGTGTGATTAGAAAAAACAGAAAAATAGGAAATAAGTGTTGTAGCAACAAATTATCTTGGGAACAGGGTCTATGAGTGCCTGAGCATTACTGACTTTATTTTAGGGTTATTGTTTTAGGATCGTCTCCATCTGCCAAGGAAATCAGTGACAAGTTTATTTTATATTTCAGTAAAAGGAGAACTGCATCCTGAAGTGTCTATCATTTACACCACTCAGAATAAGTAAAGTACTCGGAAGTTGTTCCATTTCAAATGACTGTTCATTTGACTAGCTGAAGTCCATTTTCTGAAGAGATTCAGATCTGTCTTTTTCTCAGCTCTGCCCATTAGAGCAGTAATAACACCACATGCTGTGGCCTTTATTATGCTCAGACATCTGCTATGTGCTATAAAATTATGTGGTCTTTGGAAGCCCACAAAGAGGTATGAGCTGCTTTGTTATATTGACATAGCTGGTCAAGCAGGAGGAGACAGATATGTGGTACAAAAAATTGGTAGAAGAACTCTAGAAGGGTCAAAAGAATTGGTTAAAAGTCAGCAGCATTTGCCAGTGTCACAGATTAGAAGACTTTCTCTGTGGGTTTGTTCTTCCATGAAGCATGAAGTGAAGCCTAGAAGCAGATGATTTGCTTTTTTTCTTCCTTGGTACAGAAGCAAAGACTGAACTAGTTAATGCCATTCAAATCCCCAAGTTGCTTTTTGAAGATTTAAAATAGGCTATATATTGTGCATTAGCCCACACGAAATTCAAACAGATGACCAAGCAGCAAGTGTTTCCAAATGTGTGTTGTAACATCAGTGCTTTCAGTGGTCCAGCAGCAGGTAAAAGTCTGCAGGTTGGCTTGTGTCTCAACAGACTGTCCTGGTGTCATTACCTGTGGCCAGCTGGAATTTGTCTGTGGGAAATGCAAAGGAGGGCATACTATAGCAGTAACTGCAAAACCCTTTAACTAAGAAGGGCAGGTGCTGCTTCTGTGCTTGATTCACTGTACTGACTGGGGTGCTACTGTGATGTTCTAGGTTTTCTAGTGCTGCATATGAGACAAGATTTAATTGCTTTTTTTCTGCTCCAGGAGTAGGATTTTCTCTTCTTGCTGGAAATACAGTGAACCTCCAAACAAATGTGATGCATGTTCCTCTCCTCTGCCAAGTCTCCAAATCTTTGCAGCCTGTTTCCCACTTTCTTTCTAAACCTTTTAACTAGTTTTAAGACTGCCCTTTTTTTCTGGAATGTGTCCCATTTATACAGTTGCATTGAGAACTGAGGCTAAGAAAAATCAACACATGATATCTCTTCTTTCTCCTTGTTTTTGTTTGGTTACATTTATAAAAACACTTTTAATTAGCAAACCATGTATATGCAGCTATAAGAAGTTAGAGGTGTTCTTTTTGCTTTTGGAAAGACATTATTAATAATGTGTCTGGGAGTCAAAGACTGACCTTGGGATTGGAGCATATATGTGCAGCACCTCAGGGCTGAGTTAACGTTCTTGTAGAAACCCTGCATCGTCTGATTTGCTTTAAGTCCTCATTTGAATTTGCACTAATATGTATTTTAAAAGTCAATCATGCATTGAGATTTGACTATGAATGTTTCAGTTAAGCAAACCAAGATCTGAAAAACAATTATCTTTTCTGAGCTCTATTAAGCTAATTGTGCATTGGTTTTCAAATAATTTAAAATGCCTTCATACCACCATATTTCAGTATCATTTAACTTACAGCCTCTGTATCAGGAAAAGGCTGGACAGCATATATGTATGTGCACTTGAGAAGGTGTGAACAAAACCCTCTGCTATGTTGTAAACACTGCATAATTCCTTACAAACAGAGCAAAAAACCTAATTAATTAAAAAAACCCCAAAACCACCAAACAACAACAACAAACCAAACTAGTGCTCTTTCTGCAAGCACAGAATTTGGTGAGAAAGCTTGAAGATGCCCAATGCAGTGAAAATCATGTGAGTAGATAGGAGAGCTTTCAGCTGTTGCAAAAGAATCCCTTTGATTTCGATTTGTAGAAGAGATTTGTTTCTAGTATGGCAATTATTAGATCTAAATTATTTGGCTGTGTTTTGCCTTATAGCCATAACTTCATCAGTAATTTGTTGTTCTAATAAAGTATCATTAATGCAGAGCTACAGTTTCTTGACAAATCAGCCTTAAGCATTGCAGTGTCAAAAAGACATTTTTAAAACAAACAAAAAGCCTTGATGGAAACCATGACAGTTCTTTTGGGGAAATCTGCCATTTCTTCTGCTCCTTTAATGGTTATCATAATTATACGACCAAAACTGTAGCTGTTGGAGAACCTGGACAGCTCAGATTTTCTTTTTTCCTTTGCTTATTCCTGAGTCAGTGGATGTACTTATCAAGGACCACAGAAGTTCTGTAATCCAGTTTGAATTGGCCTCAAAGGTTATTTTTCAGTTCAGATTAGATGGCATTGAAAGTTGCATTGACATTAAAGACATACTTTAATCATGGATCATTACTAAGATGATGTTCAAACTCTCTGCTGCTCACGGTTATTAATTCCATTGCAAGGTCTTAAAGTTATGCAGTATCATTGTTGACTCTGTCATCTGACTTCCGTGAAAACAGCTTACAGTTTTTTATCTAGCTACACAAAAAGAGAAAAATAAACGTAACGCATGTACTAGCTCCGTCACCCCAATGAATGAATGAATGGTGCTACTGTTCTCCTGAGCATGGCAAAATCAAACTCAAATCATATCTACATATAGTTTTAGAATGTAAAGAAACGCTATGGAAAAAGAGTGGATGTTTCGTTTAAATGAACCAATCCCACAGTTCTATGAGGAGGTTAACGGCAACTACAGACTTCTCATTTGCAAACCAGCTGTGGTTTTGCTTCATTGCTATGTCATAGTCCCCGGACTTTTTCTGTCCTCTTCTGTCTTTCTATTACCAGAGTTTTGAGAACGCAAGCAGAGAATTGCTGCAATTACTGAATGTGCCACAAGGAGGAGTGGTGTCTCCCTCCTGGAGCTTCAGAAATTCTCTGGGAGTACATCGCACTGTCCCTTCAGAGAATCATGGTGATAAAATGGATAAGAGCTTTCAAAACACCTTAAAATCACTAGTGTACTGATGTGAAGGGAGCACTTGCTTTACTTAATTTCTGTCAATATTCTTGAAGTTAGGTGCTTTGAAGTGGTGTAAAATAGTGTGGTTTAAAGCATTGGATAATTTAAAATATTAGATGATTATAAAAAGAATGAAGCATAATTTTCTGGGATAAGTGTTTAGCAAAAAGCCATTTGGCTAAGTGTGTGTAAATTAATAAGGTTAGATTTTCAAGCCTCTTGATTAATTACATTAAAATAAAGAACATTTGCACCGTTCATGCAAAGGCATAGTGAATGATGGTTGTAATAGATGCTGACTGCAAAAAAAAAAGATATGGCTTTAATCTTCAATATTTCAAATGGATATTTTCATTTGAAGCAGCATGTAAAACATGGTAGTAAATGGCTTAATACTGTATATTAAGGAAGTCAAAGAAACTAATGTAAAAGGAAGACTTTTTGAATGTTAAGTGTGCAGGATTTCAAACTATAAAATTCTTGTTGGGAGGTAATTTCAAACATCCTGCTTGCATTTTGAAGCATAATTTCTTATGGAAGTTAGGAAATGATACCTTAATGTTCTAGAGACTTGCAAACATAGAATTAACTCCTCACCTGGGGCAAATGAGTGCAGCTCCAGCAAAATTTCTAGAATTGTGCTGATTCATTCCCACTGAAGATTTTGCTTTCAGCATTTCAAGTTGATTTATATCCATCCTACTAGGTTTTTCTCAGTCTACTGTTGCCGTTTCCATTCTTTGGTTCCTTCAACCCTCTCTAGGTAGTGTCATCTCAATGTTTACAAGGCAAATACTGGTGCCTTCTTAAAAATGCTATGTTGAGGAATAATCTCTGTTCTTTCTTTCCTGCTTTGTTGGCCAAAAGGCAACTGACAGCGTTTTCTGGCCAGAACCTTAGCACACGTGGAAGGATGAACTGTGTTTCCTGAGCAACACTAGAATGAAAGAGAGAGTGCCATAATATGCCAAGCTATAACCTGTGCGGATCCCTCTGGTAGCCTTGAGTAGGTGATGAAACCAAAATGTGTGTTCTGTGAATGCTACAGAATTAATCTGCATTGCTCTTTTGCTTTTCACAAGCCAAGCTCTGGTTCAAAACTGTGCGAAATTCCCCTCCATCATCTAGAATGTCTTAATCCATATGCTTTCACCCTCTGCGTGGGAGATTAGCTTTATCTCCACGTTTGTGTTTGATAGAACAGCCTGATCTGGCAGCATGACTGAGCACTTGTCAGGTTCTCCATCGCAGCTGCTGATTATTGCTCCCAAGTCAGCTACGTGCACCTGTTCAAATGCAAGGGGTGCCTTGTGCTCCCTTATCCCTTACCTCGTGCGGCATGGGGATTTTTTTAGTCCTATAGACTGTGATCTCTCTTTCAATGTGATGGACTGTCAGACACTTACTGAGAGCTTCTTCTGAATTTTAATTCCCTGATTGAAGTTTGAACTCTGTGTTTAAAAAGAGGAGGAAAAAAAAAAACCCACAAAAAACCTCCCAAAACCCCAAGATGCAGAGAAGGAATAAAGCAGTGGATCCAGTCCATAAAAAGCAGAGGACAAGCGAATTATTGACTCTAAGTGGATTCTTGAACAAACCAATGCAAACTCGATATGTTAGTGTCTATATGCTAGAAAATGAAAAATAATGAAGGAAAAGATGGATGCTGCTTACTCTGCCTAGTTCAGACTAACATTAACTTTCAGCAGCACAGTATATGACACTTGTCAGATGTTCATGTTCATAGTGCAGCTCAGGAATAATCCTGGTAGCATATATGCTTTGTACATAAATCATCACAGAATGCTGGGGGTTAGAAGGGACCTCTGGAGATCATCTAGTCCAACCCCCCTGCCAAAGCAGATTCACCTAGAGCATCTAACTGGGGGTGGAGGGAGGGGACAAAAAACAAACAAAAAAACTCAACAAAAAAACCCAACCAAAAAACCCCCCCAAACCAACCACACAATAACAAACCACCTCAAAATGCACAATACATTTTCCTTTTCTTAGATGTAACCTTAAGCATTACCACCTTTGGAATTAAAAATAAAATAAAGCTTTTTTTTTTTTATTCCTGTGGGCCCAAATTTTCATGGTGTGAAGTATAAAAGTTGGAGTTTTCTGATGGTGAAATATTTCTTATACTGTGGAGGATCTGTGACAGCAGGGAATCACTGTCCACCTTACTCCTCAAGTTCAGATGGATCCTCTGCTTTTTCAGGAGCTCGTAGACTGCTGCAGTCTGCAGGTTTGTCTTCTGAGACAGGTTTGTAGTCCATGGTGGTTCAGGAGCTATGTTAGGAGAAGCTGAGCAGGCACTGAGGTTGGGAGCTGTGATCTCCAGTGTTTCTTTCCCTTAGGAGTCAGAACCCCCGGATTTTGAATGCAGTAAACACCAAAAGGCCCATTCAGGCAGGTTGAGCTTTCCAAAACCAACACCTTTTCAGTGCCTTAGGGGTACAAATCACATCTGGAGTCTGCTGCGTAGCACCTTTTCGTTTGTACTTTAGAGGGCTCTGTTCAAACCAACTTAGTGAAATCTGGGTCCCACAGCTGGATTTTGCTTTATTCTGGACATAAACAGTTCATGGATTTTTACTTCTCAGAGTTTGACACACAAATAAAAAGTTGTATCTGATACTTCAGATGATTCAGATGTGTATTTAGCAGATAAAAGTATCATAAAACAAAATGCTCAACAGCACAACTTTTTCCACAAAGCTAAGTCAAACTCTAGTATTACATTTTACGATGTTATACAAAATGCAATTCCATGTGAAAGTCTGCTGATTATCAAGGTTTGCTAATCTGCTTCGTATTGCAAATCAAGGACAGTTCATGAAGGGAGGGAGCAGTTGGGAATACTTCAGCAATTCAGTTCAAAGGGATTGACCAAAATAAAATTGTGCTTATTTTCATTGACATTTTTCACATTAAAAATATTTTATTTGAGAGAACATCTTCCCTTCAACTTTGTATTGAAATCAGAGTTATGTTTTGCCCCTTGGAAACTGCTTAGCTATTAATGTAGAATATATAATTTCTAATTAGATTAAAGCTCCTTGCTTTCTTTCATTTAGATACTCCAGTGTTGGAATATTTGGCTAGTTTCTTCAGGAGATGAAAAGATGAAATGATCAGTCAAAACTGGTCCCTGGACTACATATCTGACTAACCCCTTCCCTCTGCTTCAGCACAAGGCAGTCATGTCTGAATGTGCTTAGACTGAATCCTAACCTTGGATTCTCAGGGGTGGGAAGGGGAGTTGTGTGTGCTGATTAACATCCAAGATGCCACTAGAACAATTTTTACCTTTCATTTTCTTTTGTAAAATAGTATTAGGTATATAAAAAAGATTTTAAAAATACTAAATTAAAAATTTCATAATTATGTGACTCATGTAAAAACAAAGGTGATTTAATGTAGTGATTTTTTGATATGAGATTCTGATTCTTAACATTCACATGTAGTTTTCTCTCAAAATCTACTAAGTGGTATGACAATTCTGAAAATCACCCTTAGAAGTGGACTTACTACTTTTTCCTTTTGCACTTCTTTATAGGACTATAGTATTGGAAAAACATGCTCTTTACTATTTGGTATTGCATAAAAGAAACTGCTCACATACAGTAAAATAATGTTTGTAAAAGACTGCTGCTTAATGTCAAAATAGCTCAGGGTCTTCTGAAAGCATTTTTCATTTACTTCTTCCCTTTCCATTTCTGCCTGTTTATGTAATTGTTCTTTCTTGTCTTGTGACAAATCTTTGTGCTATTGCATATTTGAGCAGATCATAGCAAAAGGAAGATGTTTCTGGGTGATTTTTTTTTTTTTTTTTTTTTTTATGTCACACACCATCAGCATTTCCTGTACTCCAAGAAGGGGTGCTCCATACTCCACTAGAGAAACTGATATCTTCACAAGGCCCATTAGTTGTTTGGTATGATCTGAGCAAAGATAATACCTAGAGTTAGTCCATGCAGCTGAAGTGAATATATCTTCAAAATATGAATTAAGCAAGAACTCATGAGATAACAATTTCTGCTCCTAATGTTTGCATTTTAATTTATTTTTTTTCTGTCAGATAATGTTAACTATTCAACAGGATGCTAAGCTGGGTGGACTACTTATTTGTTTTGTAATAGCATTGTGTGGCCTTACAGTTCTGCTTTCAAACTCTCCATCAAAAATTGCTAACACTAAACATTTATCCCAGTGTTTTCTTTTAGTATTAATCTTCTCATTTGCCTCATATTCCTGGATCAGTCAGTCCTTTTATTTTTTTCCTACAGGGTTACAAGTATGTTATCCCAGAAGGGGAGTGTTGTGGGAGATGCCAGAAGACTGCCTGTGAGGAGCAACTATTCTGGTCTAGGGGTGATGCAGATCCTCGTTTGCATGAGGTGAGGTGGGAGTGGCATTGACACATCCTCTTCTAGCAGAAGTGCCCTGGAATTATTTTATGTACTACAGAAGGTGGTGAAAAAGAGATGAGCTATTTCTTCCATACATTAAGCAGCTCTAAAAACCAATGTGTTTTGGGGTGTGTGACTTGGTTTTAACAAGAAAACCCTCCCCGCTCTTTTCAGTGCATAAGAAAGTAATATTTTTGTGTTAAATTTGTAATTTCACAAATGGTAGCTCAAAAGAATGCTAATGGGGCATGATGCTTCTCTGGCTGCAGACTATTTGCTTAAATTATCCCAGTTAATTTGTATTACTCTACAGGTAACAGTAAGATGGGGTAGTAGATTGCTTGAATTTCACAGTCCTATTCAAATAGGATATCCTATTTGGTACACACTGAAATATCAGGAAGTAAATGAAGAGAGAAACATGTATTATTCTCTACTTGCTAAAAATGATTGCTTGATGTCAGATCAGACCATGTCGTCCAGGCCACGCTGGTTTTCTGCTCAAAATTGTTTTCAGTGGTGTGCTTCTTCACTTAGGATTCAAAGAGCCCAAAGGGAAGTGGGTGCATGCAGTAGCCATTTAAAATGTGCTGTAGATACCCTACCACTCTGGAAAGCTACATGGATATTTGTTTCTTTCTTGTCTACATTTTGAATTCCTTCAGGCTATACAGTTTGTTCTGTCCCAAGCACCCTTGGCAAGCCTGTGCTTGCCCAAGTAGCATTAAATTGCTTGATTCTATGCAGAGCTTTCTATTCAACAAAGGCAGGAACAGTAAGTTAAATATGTTTAAAATAATAGACCTTCTCCCAATCTTTTCTTTCCTAAGTGGTGTTCTTTTTAATGGGTCTGCATTTTCATCTATATTTCACATTCTCATATTTAATATTAACTTTTAATTGCTTGCTTTACAAAGGCAGTCTGCTGCTGTCTTTTAAAAAATGTAAATGTATCATTTTGCAGCCTGCCTCTTCCCTGATTTTACCAAGGGCATTTCTTAATGTGGTTCAATATTTTTTTCTGCTACATAAAACAAGCCTTCAGAAAGTCTATTTTAATCCCACCGTGTCGTAACTGATTTCTGTTATCCTAATGGAGTAATAGATCCTTATACTCTGCTATCTCTTTCTCGTTGTGTCCTCTTTCAACTCTTTTGTCATTAACAAAGAACTAAGTATTTAATACATGAGAGAACTTTTTAGCAAAAATGTTTGAATCTACTGGAGCTGAGGATCTGGTTTGCACTTTTACTGGTCTTGAAGCATATTCAAGAGTGTTAACAGTGGAGGTGTACAGCTTCAAAGCAGTGATGAGCTCCTCCCAGCGTTGAACTGGGACTGCATCTTCCCACCTTGTATGACCCATGGGTGATTATAATCAGTAGAACAGTCAACAGGATCTGGTCTCTTCTACGTTTACAAGTATTTTCAGGTCTTGATCCTATTGACAAAGACTCCTTTGGGGTTAGTAGATCTGATTTGCAACACGTTCCAGCAGAAAGAGGGCCAGCTCGGCTACAGCACAATGCAGTGCAGCCAGCTACTGGGTAACAAATGTAGATTTAAATCTAGTTAGGGGTGCTTTTTCTTCTTCACATGTTGTTTCATCTGCTCCTTTATTTTTCACCTTGAGGATACTCCCGTAGCTCCTATACTCTACAAACCAAGCAGCAGGTTGTTCTATAAACTGATTGTTGCAGAAAGGATTTGTGGAGAGCTGTTGAGTGACAGGCTGTTCCTGATGCAATAAACATGCTTTTGGCAAACCAGCATGTTAACCATGGTGTTCTTCCCTGTATCCAGTGGCACAAATACTGCTGCCTATATGTAATCCTTTTCCAATTTCCCATCAGGTTGGCACAGAGTGGCGATCCCCCTTCAATCATTGCATTATCAATGAGTGTGTCCGGGTGAACAATGAGGTTTTTGTGCAGCAAAAGAATCTTTCTTGCTCTCAAATGGATGTGCCTGACTGTCCAGAGGGAACTGAACTACGTTGTGACCAAATAATAGACTGCTGTCCTTCCTGCAGATGTGGTAAGGTTTTGTGTATGACAAATGGAATCACTAGGGAATGAATAATCTCATGTGTTGATCTCCTGTTTCTCAATGGCAATTTCAAAAGTGCACATTATGCAAGTATAGTACTACTTTGAAGCTGTGTGTATAATTTGGACATTGAGTACAATAGCACCTGCTGCTATTACTTTCTTTTTCCAACTGATGTTCACTGTCTCCTCTTGAACTACTTAATCTTGAAGCTCTTTTGCATTGCTTCAGAAAGATATACCAGGGTACATTGCTACAGCTCTAGCTCTGCATTGTTAAGCATTTAAAAGAGGTCTTAAGATGCTTTTTGGTCTAGGAAGGTTCAGTGTTCTCCTCAGTGCCTGCTATGAATAGGGGATTTGCATGCAGCCATTGTCTTCTGCATGTCTCTGAGCATTGTGGCTGTGGCCATTTCCTAGTATATACTTGAGTCAAAAGTTGAAATCAGAAGATTTGGATAATTTGACTCAGTCTGGGAAGACTCCCAGTCATGTTTAATTGACAAGTATATATGCAGTCACAGGGTGAGGAGCTAGCAGTGGGAAAAGGAGGGGAAATACACACTGTAATTTGCGGAAAACCTGAGTGCATCTTCTTAGAGTGCGAGGCTTGAACTGGAAGGAAAAATTTATGTTGTATCATGTACTTGTTAAAAAAAACCAGCTCAGCAAGAGATATTTGGAGGTGGAATTCGGGATAACTCTGACAAGTTGCTACCTTTCAAGTTATAATGTAAGAGAGCTCAATTATGCCTCTTTACAGTGAAACTGGATCTAAATATCTTCAGCTGGAACTCTGATAAGTCAAAAAAGCATACCTGTGTTTTATTAAATCTTGGTAATGTCATGATAATGGTCATGCTAAATGGAATTTTTTTCTTTTTCAGTACCCCTGAATGGTTGTCCTTTGAATGGCACTGTTATTGGGGTAAGACAATTCTTTTATTTGCTGTGATGCCAAGACATTTAGATATATGAATGAGCTTTTGAAGAACACAAACTTGTTAGAATATGCATAAGCATACAGGGCAGCTTTGTTCAGACAGCATCTCTGTGACTGAGACCTTGAGGCAAAAGCAGTGGCATGGGGCTCAGCACATGTATGTCCAATTCATGACCCTGCCACAGTCTTCCTGTATGTCAATGAATATCTCTGCAAAATGGGGACAGTAATGTTTCCTTATCTTGAAAGGATGCTTGAGAAAAGTTCTTAGAAACTGTGGTAATCCGTGTTGTGTAATGACTTGCAGGCTACCAAACACACAGGAAACTGTCTGTGAGGGATAATCTCGAAAATGATCCTTGCCCACTTTGGGGAAGCAAAAACTTCCCGTATTCTACCTAGAGGATAAGGCAGATTAAAAATGGATGGAGGCTCTTGCCCCACCTGTGTGGAAGGAGGGGTATCCCTCCTTAGCTATTAGCAGGGTCAGGAAAGCTGAGCTTCCTCACTGTTTGACCTGTGTCCCCTTTCAAGATCCCTGCTGATATGCCCTCAGAGGAAATTTTTTCTCAACTGTATATTTAATGGATAGATTAAGACATGCTTAACTCAGGCCATGACAGTGGGAATGATGGGAATTAAGCATCTGATCTCATTTATGTTGAATTTATCTTTGGAGAGCTCTGTCAATTGTCCATTGTTTCCCTAAATCCATATTCTGGCAGCACCTCTGGTGTCAAAGAGCTCTAACTATTCTCATCATCCCCCAGGGAAACAGGTCCTCTTTAGTCATTTAACCTAACTTTTAACCTACGTATCCCTGCATTGTCAATGTATGTCTTTCTTTTTCATTTATGTAAAAGGTAAGTTTACCAAAATCTCTTTGGGCTTTTAAGGTATGGCAGAGACAATCTTTCTCTATCTATTTCTTCTGGGGTTTTGTTTTGGTTTGTTTTTTTTTCCATAGTCGATAGCCATAAGTTTATCAGTTTGTTAGATAAAACAAAAAAACCCTGTCATCAAGCATCCATCATTCTGTGTGGGGATTACTTCCCTGTAGAATTAAATCCAAGGAATAACTCTGCTTTTCTTGTCAGAGAAACACTGTGAGAAAGGTTTTAAAGTGCCAACATATGAAATAATCTGTTTTGTCTTTGATTTGTCTATTTGTCCCTTCTATAGTACGTTGTCAAAACTAGTTGTGGCATTTTATAAAGACCATGCTTGTAGAGAGTGTCGTGCAATACAGCAGTTGCTAGCTTCTGTTATATAGGATGTGCATATATATATATATATATATGTGTGTATTCTGTGTTGCAAAAAGAAGGTGTCTTTCCAGTTGCATGCTGTTCTTTCATAAACAACTATTTTTTTTCCCTTCCAAAGAAATGTTTACCTGATCTGTTCAGTAAAGTCTTTGTTCTTTTTTCAAGTGTTTCAAAAAAATTTAAAATACCTTAAAACAAAGCATAAGCAAATTTTGAAACAAAATGTTGTGTTGAAGGCACAATGAGACATATTTTGAAGGCTTAAAACTGAAATATTTCTGCTTCTACAATATTGAAAAAATCCCTATCTTAATAAAATTTTCCCAATTTGGAATTAATTCATAAAGTCTTTCAGCTGACACAAAACTACATTTTGACTCATTCTTATTTGCTATCTGGTTATATATAAATACTGCCTTTAAAATCTTTAAAGTGTTTTTCTTTTTTTTTTTTTTTTTATTTTAATAGAGCTTTTAAAATGTGTTACTGTTCTTCTTGACAATTGGTCATTTTATCAAATGCTGCCTGTGCAAGTTTTGAGGGTGTAGCTAGGCCCCAGCTACATTACTTCTGTGTTCCTGCTGTCACAAATGTCAAGCATTCATGCTGAAGTTAGCATTCAAAAACAGAGTTACCAAGGTATTTTCTCAGGACGGAGAGAATAAAATTTGAGTTGAGACATAATCTTGGAAGATTTCTAAACAAAGTGACCATTTTGATTAAAATAAATAGCCAATAATAAATTAGAGCTTATATTAGAACTTGTCTTAAATTAATGAACTTTTCAATTAAACTAGCTTTGCTTAATGTCTTATTGTAGGCTAATTAGATATATGTTTGAAAGATTTTAGCAGCTGGCGTTACTACAGCTTTGTCTTATGCTATTCTCTACTTGAATGACTCTTTCAGAGTTCTGGTCAGGAAGGAAGATGTGGTGTCCACAGAAGTTTATACTTCCTGGATTTCAAAACCTTTATTCTGGGTCCTTTAAGAATAGGTTTCAAGTTTCATTTTATATCAAGGGAAAACTTTGCTCCATTAACTCATTCACTGAATAGTTCCAAGTTCTGAGTCTCTTACTGCAGTTCTGTTAACTGACTGTGTCCTTAATCCCTTTACATTTTTGACTTGTATCTGGTTACCAATATCATATTCCTGTAATTTGTTGTATTGCATTCACTCTGCTGTTCTTAACAATGCTGTGGGCTTTAACTGCAGACTTCCAAGCAGGTGGCTGTATTTACCAAAAGAATTATCTGTATCACTCATCTGTTTTCCCAGGCTTTTACTGAGTGGCATTTTTGAAGGAGATCTGAGTAGATTTGGGCTTTATGCAGGTTATTTTGATTGCACTGACTAACATTGGGTTATCAGATATTGACATTTCATTCTATGTTAGCCAAGAAAACACATGCTAGGTGTATTATATAAAGGGAAAAAGATGTATCAATCCATTATTTCATTTGGTTCTGTTATGCTAAGATGTGTTTGTTCACAGAATGCCATTGTTAAAGCCATTTGCATGCTGATCCCTAAATACATTAAATAAACATAATAGAACTAAGCTGTCATGTAAACTTTGGATCAAAGTAAGACCTTCCCCAAAAAATTCAAGGCACTTGTGTGTGAGGATTTAGTTTCAACATGTCTCTAGCAAGCCCTGTGTTCCTGCCTGTAACAGTGATTTTAGTATAAACTGAACTTTATCTTTTTGTATTTAATTGGAATGTTAGAACCATTAAAAGATCCAATGAGGATATTAATTGTAATATCAGTTGTGGTTTATAGACCTTTTCTTAATTATGTGAAAGCCTAGAGCTACTGAGGCATTCTGTGAATAAGCATTTAGTTCTAGAGGGCCTGAATTAAGTACGATTATGATAGTAAACGGAACAAACCCAAATGTATTTTGAAACAGGTCAACATGATGAGGGCATCTCCCAGATTTGTAAGGCTTTTGTGTGTACATACACATGCACGCGAGGAGCTACTAACCAGCAGAGCAATACTAGCGTCAGTGGACTGAAAGCCCTTGTGAGGCCATGTAGTCTGTACTACAACTATCACTTTGATGTCTGAATGTTTTACAATGTTGAGAGTAAACAAGAAGGTTGGAGCTCCATATGACGTTTGCTATCTGCCCCTCTCCCACGGAAAAGTGTTTGAGTGTGTCCTTATGCCTGCATCCATTAAGGTCTTTTAACCCTCTAGATTAATGACCTAATATTCAATATAGAAGGTTAAACCAAGAAAGGTAAAGAGTCCTGTATTGAGGTCTCAAGATCAGTTGTTAAAAGACAGGGATCTCCATATTGGTATTGCCACCTCCATCACGTTGTATGTGGAGGATCTTTTTTCTAGACCTCCACAAACCAAGAAAAAAGTAATTGCTATTGCTGGTGCTTTATGGAAAACCACTGAGACTTGAGGACCTCTGTTGTGCTGGAGTGCAGCGTAAGAATGTAATTAAAATTCTTTAATCAGAACATTTGTCCTTTAGTGTGTATGTTAGAGCATTGGCTATGAACGACCCATAAACACATTACCTTTATGCTCTTACTCCGGACAGCTTCTTGATTTTGCTCCATTTATTTCATGAGTACTTAGAAGTGTGGAACAAGCAAAAAAGGAATGTGAGGATATGCATAGCATATATAACATGGGAAATTCCTGTTCCAAATGAAGTCAACAGTGACATTCCATTGACTTTTAAAGCACAACTCAAAGCTTTTACAATCTAGCAATATTCAGTGTCTGTTTACCTTATTTGTTAGGTTTTAGAAGTTCTTTGTGAAAATCTTGAATAGACTCCTCCCATTTTGTCCCTTCAACCGTAGCAGTTTGTTATTTTGGGGTTGAAATGAAAGGCTATGCACTTGGGATGCAGAAAGACCTTGTATTTAGAATTCCTTTTAGTGATAGGAATCCAGTTACTAACTCCACATCCTTTTGTTTCTCATTTAATAGTTTGGTATTTTTGCTCTACATTTTAAATGCTGTTTTGCTTGCTTTGAAAAGATGATGGGATCCAGCAAACAAGGTGCTGGGGAAGAGCCCAGAGAATTTGAATCATGTGCCAGCGTAGACACTAGTTTGCTTGTAACTATGGTCAAGCCCAGTCCTTCACTCAGTAATTTGGTTTCTGTTTTTGTGTTTCTTTCTCCTTTCTCAATTTTAAGCTTTTAGGCCTCTAGAGATTCTAATCAGTATTATTACAAGAACAATAACAAGTAATTTCAACCCATGATCTGTGAGTTGCAATGACTCAAGAACAAAAACTTGTTGGCAAAACAATTCACTACACTCTGGGAAAAAATGAACTTATGGCAACTACTTAACACATAGTCATGATAGCTCATGACAAAACCTTCCTCATCACTTTCAAGAATTCCTTTCTTGCTTGCTAGCTGTGTAAGCAACAAAGTAAGAAATGCCAATGCCATTTCACAGATTAAGGAATTCTAAAGGGCTTACTTGAAAAATATGCTCATATTGTGCTGTTTCTTGTGGAATTACAGATACAAAAATTTGGGTCTCTGGAAAGTGGGGCCATTGGTTTTCTGTTTTCTCTTGCAAAGAATTGCAATGCAAGATTTAATGAAAGAGATTTAACCTAGTTAAAATTGTTCAGTTATTTGAGTTTTGTTGGAGAGACCATTATTGACTTTCAAACTGGTTCTAATGTTTCAGCCATGGAGACGCCTGATGGTGGATCAATGCACAACATGTCTCTGCTCCCTCCAGTCAACATCTTCTCGGAGATATACTCTGACATGTACAAAATTAAGCTGCGAACCATGCCCAATAGTAAGTGTGTGTGGTCTGGATCTTTTGGTTAAGGATGTGTCTAATGAGAAGGTCATGTTTTTCATTGTATACACCAGCTTATGTTCTGTACATCCCTGTGACCTATTGCCTCTCGTCAAGTTTTTCTGAGAAGTCATGGCCCTGTGTTCTTCTTTCCCTGAATTAGATGAAATATACCAAATGTGATCTAAATCCACAGTGTAGGAAAGATAACTTTTCATATTACTCAGGTCCAAAAGCACATTTTATTGTGTATTTTAGACTACTTACCTTTAGGTCAAAATAAGGTTTGGCAAATAATTTGATACAAGAACTATTGTGTCTCCTTTCCTACAGTATTATCTGTCCCTCCAAGGACTGGCAGCTCAGCCAGATCTCCGTGTTTCAGGGTTTTCCTATGACTATTCCAAATTGTCTAATAGCTGGGCTCAATAATATTTCTGTCTGGTTCCAAGCCATGCCTTAGGTGATTTGAGGTGATTGTCCCCATCAGTTCCACTGGCCTTTTTGAAGTCTTTGCTGAAGCTTTGCTGACATCATCTGCAAGGAGTGAGCTTGGCTGGGAAAGCCAGAGGCAAATAGCTCCCCTCTTTACTCCACTGACCGACAGTGTGACCGGAGTGCTTGACTAGTTTTGCTCAATCATGTAGTTTTCCCTCTTAGCACCAATACCTCAAGCAGAAAGGGACTGTAAGTAGATGCAAGTTGCAGAGGCTGGCTTAATCTTCCCCTGTCTGAAGAGCACATGCCAGCAGCTAAGTTTCACAGAAAAAGGCTTAAATGCCCCTTCCTCTTCTGCTTTTCCTTGGATAATGGATGGAGCCCAATGGGCCCAACCAAACCCAGGGCCTGTGCAAGCAGCAGCCGTTGCACCAAGAAGCCAATTCTCTAACATGATATGGTGGTTTCACTTGACTAGCACTTGGTTAGCAGCCAAACACAGCCGCTTGCTCACTCTTCCCCCACCACCAGGGACATGGAAGAGAATTGGTGGGGTAAGGGTAAGGAGACTCATAGGTTAGAGATAAGAACAATTTAAGAACTGGTATAAAATAAAACTTAAAATAATAACAATATTAAAAGAATAATGATGATAATAATAATAGTAATAAAATATGCAAATGAGTGATAACACAGTCCAATTGCTCACCAACTGCTGGCCAAGCCCAGCGCATTCTCAACAATCGTGGAGAAGTGACAATCCCAAAACCGAAACTGCAATCCTGGAAGAATGAGAACCTGAGCAAAAGCCAGAGAAAGAGAGAGAAACCCCACAAGAGAGAGACCCTCATTAATATACTGAACAGGATGTTATATGATATGGAATATCTCATAGGCATATCTGAATGACAACCTAGCTTATTAATTTAAATATTCATCACCTCCCCAGACCTTGTACTTGTAGACTAGCAAAAGACGAAGTCCTTTGGCTTCCAGCGACAATTGAAAACATTGGTGTGTTATCAATGTTTTTCTCATAACAAATCCCATGCTATTCTAGCTACTAAAAAGAAACCTAGCTCTGTCCCAGCTAAAAACCAGGACACATGATCATATTGGTTTCCCAGCTGGTATCCAGGAGAGGCATACATTGATAGGGTCCCTGCAAAAGGGAGAGGCAGAGTTTTGGATGAGTCCAGTTTTCAGTCCCTAAGTAGAACTGCAAAAGACAATGTTGTAAGTGTGAATTTTCTGTGACTTCATCTGTACTAATAAACTAAACGGAGCAAGACTGCAGGCTCACATTATGTCCTGGAACCACTAATCTTGAAGAATTGTCAGCAGTGTTCCAGCTGGCCTGTTCTAACTAGCAGACTTCCAAATAATGACCAGGCAAGGGTCAGTGGTTAGGACAACCCAAGGGCAGCTTGTTTAGTGGGGAGAATGCAGTTTAGACATACATACGTGTTCCACTTGTCTGCGGGGGCAGAAAAATGGCCTTGCCCACTTTATTTGCTGGTATGGATGTAGCTTTTGACAAAAGGGAGAATCTGGAATACTTTGTGTGGTTCTGGACCCTAATATCACCCCTCCTGAAAGGTATGATTATAGACACAGGCTTCTGGAAGGAAAATAAATGGCCAAACTCAGTGCTGAGCATATTCCACACTTCCACAAAGTATAACCTGTCAGATCAATGGAAAAAAAAACCAAAACAACACAGATATACTAGAATTAATCTGTGGCCAGAAACATTGTATGTTCCCACACAAAAATACACAAACATAAATTCTTGCTTTTCAATGCAAGATGGCAGCTGTAGAAATTAAAGGTAGATGAATCAATAAAATACATGGTAAAAAAGTGAGGAAGCATTCCTCTCTTGCTTCTCTCACCACCCACACAATTCCCAAACAGCTCCTTCCCCAACCTGACCCAAAGGTATAGACTAAACAAAAAGCCCTGAAGAAAGAGCAATTTCCAGTTGGGCTTATTAGGCGCTATGAACTTGTGTTTAGGAGATGTGCAGCTACCCAAGGGAGGTTGCAGATCTAGGCGTATGTATCCCTTTGTAACTACTGTAAAGAATCTGTGGAGTTTGAGGGGAAAAAATATCAAATAAGATATGGAATGTCTTCATCCCCCTAAGACCAGTGGGATTCACATACCTACTTGGGATCTTTCCTGTCTCAGAGTCATTGATTTCATGATATAGCCAGATTAAAAACAATTCCTTCATAATGAATAAAATAATGGGTAAGAGTATATGCTCTCTCAGGAGCACCTGATTTCTACTGGATGCTGAAGCTGTGAAAGGAAATGCATGGGGAACTGAAGTGCAGCCAACTGCAGCATATTCTGCTCTGCAGGGTATTTTTTTTTTTTTGGTCATTTTTATGAAATGTACCTACTTTAGGTACTTACATTTTTGCTAGTAGAGCAAGTTAACCTAGATAACAATGAAATATGTTTTCTTCCAATGATTTAATAGTAACTCCCTACCCTTCCCAAATTCTTTTTCTATAGAAGACATATGGATAACATGCATGCCTTCACTCAACCAGAAAGTGTTTGTTGTCTTGAAAATGTCCAGCTCATCACAAGCAGCTGTTGGTTATGTGTAGCAGCTGGAGACATTATTGTGGGACACTTCATGTGTTAACTCTGTTCCTTTCTGTTTGCTTTTTTTTTCCATTTTTTTTTCTTTCCATTATCTACTCTATACCTTTTTTCCTCTCCATCTAGTGCTGCTCATTCTCCCATGCT